GTGAGAGTGGGGTGAGAGGACAGAGGGAGTGAGAGATGGGTTGAGAGGGTGGGGAGAGGACAGAGGGAGTGAGAGATGGGGTGATGGGACAGAGGGAGTGAGAGATGGGGTGGGCAGGGACTCACAGCAGGTCTCTCTCCAGGACTGTATCGATCTCGTGTTTGACTTGTAAGAACTGAGTAAATTCCCCAGCAGACCCAGGCCCCCCCTCACACGGCCCAGCCCTGCCCGAGGAGCAGCGGGGGCTCGGGGTTCACGGTGAATTCACACCGCTGGGCACGGGGGGCCTCGCAGTGCTGGGGCCCTGGGGTGCTGTCTGTGTGGAGTCTGTATGTTCTCCCGTGTTCACATGCGTGTCCTCCAGGTGTTCCGGATAAAGAAGAAAGATGCTCTGCCTCAGGTCAGGATCTGGGCAAATTCCCCTGGGATTTGCCGATATCACTCTTTTTCTACGTCAGGCAGCACCTGCGTTCTTCACAGCCGGGAGCTGCAGAGCGAAGCCAGGGGCCTGTTCCTCAGCACCAGGGCCAGGGCAGGTTCTGCTGGCGGCAGGTGGCGGTGTTCACTTCACAGCATCAACTTCCAAATCAGAGGACGTTCCTGTGGGGCTCAATCTGCCTTAAACACAGTTTCCACCTTAATGAACAGTTCGCTTCATCGGAGCAGCGTCCCCCAAGTGAACCTTTCATTCCCCTCCTATTTATAAAGGAGCTGCTTCATGGCTAACTTTGCACTGGATTTTACATCTTGACCCGAACCCGACACTCAGTGCCTGTCACTGGAAGGGCCTGCAAGCCCACAGACTGTCACTGCAGGCTGGGTACACAGACTCCTGGTGCACAGCGTGTGATCCACTCCAGGGTTTACAGTGCTGGCTGTCAGACTCCCAGTGTCAGACTCTCTGATGGACTATCTTGGGGGGACCAGACTGGTGTTGCGACTGACTGCACTGTCACACCTGGGGGGGACCAGACTGGTGCTGTGACTGACTGGTGTTGCGACTGACTGCACTGTCACACCTGGGGGGGACCAGACTGGTGCTGTGACTGACTGCACGGTCACACCTGGGGGGGACCAGACTGCTGTGCCCCAGGATTCTGACTGACAACACTGTAATACCAGGAATGAGTTTTTAAGGTTATTTTATGAGCCAGCATGACTGAAGGAAAGACGGCCGTGGTGGGTGACCTGCCAGCTGGGAGAAGGTTGTGTTGTCATGTTTCCCATGAGGCCCTGGAGGACAGAGTCTGGCTGAGCTGCGTGCTGTGAGACTCTGCTCTGCAGCTGCGTGGGATCCAGCTGTGGAAACCAGCCCCACGAGCTGAGGGGCTCAGGGCAGCTGAAACAGGGGTGTCCCCAGCACACAGCCCTGCGGGACCCCAGAACACTCGCACACAAAACTGTTCCCCCCGCCAGCTCCTGCACCGCTGAAGGCCAGAGCCCGGGGCGGCAGGTTTATCTTATCTGCAATGACTCAGACGTGCCCTTGAAAACGCAACTTTCAAGGAGCTCAACAACCTCCTCTCCCTTCCTGCGTTTCTTGAAAGACTTTAAATGGTTTCTTCCACACGCGGTGCACAACTGAAATTCGGAATCTCAGTCTTTCAAGTGGTGCCTCTTGAATAAAACCGTCTGTTTGATGGTCCATGTGTATAAATTCTGCAGCTGGAGCAGAGCCAGGGCCACGCGCCCGCCGAGCCAGCGCGAGCTGACGGGAGTCGCACGCGCAGAGGAATGAGCTGGGTGGGCAGCGGCGCGCGGCACGAGCTGCCACCGCGAGCCCTGCGCCACTGACGCAGCACATCTGCCCACCGCCGGGGCCCCGCGCACCGGGGG